AGTGACTCCGCCAGCGGCCCCTGGACACCCACCAAGCCCTTGACCTGAGGGTGCCACGGGCGAGTGGGCACGGGAGGAGGAAAACCCAGCTGGGGTGCCAGCAAGCGGCCATGCTCCCCAGCAGTACCTGCAGCGGGCAAGGAGGAGGCAGGAAAACACTTACACCCTCTGCTCTATTCCTGGGAGAGCCCCTTTCCAAAGCAGAGTTGCACTAAGTGGTTTTTACAGCAATAAGCTGCTTTCTGAGACCAAGAACAGGGACTAGACAGTTGGTAAAAACGACTTTTCTCAAGTACCTGGTATCTGAGGCAACTGAAAAAAAAATTAAGCTCACATTTCTAACTTGCTGCATGAGAGAAACGTGCAATGGTGAAACAGTTAAACATTAGTGCTGGGAACACGCTGTTCTTACCAGTTTGTTGCAAAGAACAAAAGGGCAAAAAGCATCTCGGGTCTTCTTTTTTCTTTTTTTTTCTTTTCCTTTTTTTTTTTTTTTGATATTTAATCAATAGTTATTGCTGCCTCCCCAAATGCTGGAACCCAAAGGTTTTCCAAATGAGAGAAGAGCTTTTCAGTGCCCAGCTTATCGAGCCTTACTAGCGACAAATAACATTTTGCCAGTCAGACCCCCTGCTCAGTTATTCACACGAAGCGCTCAGAGCTCCCTGTTTTTCCAGCACTTACCTGAAGGATCTTTTCAGCACTGGCCGAGAGCAGCCCCATGCCGCAGCTGCAGTCCCATGCCGCGCTGCCTCTCGCGGTTGGCGTTCCTCAGCTCCCCCGTCGCACCGACGTGCTACAGCAGCTGAAGCCAAGGCTCTCGTGGGCCAGGGAGGCAGTCGGCCGAGCGGGAACCAGTCTAGGAGCACCCTCGGGCAGCTGGGGCTCATGTTAGCATCCCTCACACCAAGCAAAGCTGAGGATGCTCTGGGCTGGCGTTCAGTGCTGTCCTTCTGGAACGTTTTAGGGTGAGCATCCCCTTTCCACACAGCATGAGTAGGTGAGGGGCAAAGCCCAAAATGGTAGTGGGTTTATGTTGCTCCAGCTCGTATATTGCTCTGCTTCAGCCTGACCCATCTTCTCCTGCCTGTAAGCTCTCCTGGGAAGGGATTTGGGGCCAGTCTGGAAGAGTAAGGCAAGAGCACGTTAAGCTGTCTTGAGTCATTTCCACTGCTATGGGCGGGGGTCCTGTTTCACAGATCTATGCACAGTCAGTCAGCAAAATCTTTACAACACAAGATCGATAAATTGTTTAAAACTCTTTCTCAAGGTTGTTTCCTGACGAGAAAAGCAAAAAAAAAAACAATTGGAGCCTACCGTGAATTAAAAAAGAAAAGGTCAGAAGACGAGAGAGTGCACAATGCACTCGGCATCGCTCAGCCACTCAATAAGGCTCTTCCCTGGAAATTGCTAAAGTCCCCCCCAAGTTTGCTTCCCCCTTTTGAGAGTATAATTAAAACAGATCAAGTCAGGCTTTTTCTTGCTTGGAGCTGACTGTCTTCCATCTGAATGGGGCAAGAAAGCGCATCAGCCTAGTCCAAAAGAGAGCTTTCCTTGTTCCAAGTTTGGAAAAGAGCAGAGGTCTTGGACCTTCTCTCCTTAGCGGGTCAGACCTTTGCAACAATATTGCTGCCAACATTATAGCCCTGTTCTTTGAGAGGCTGTCCCGCATAGCTTGGATGTTGCTTGTGGATTTTTCATTCTGTCCTTCACAGTGGTGAAAACCTGCTGTAGATCTGAGTCCTGGTCCCAGACTACCAGACAGTGCTGTGCTACTGAAAGCATGTAAACAGATCTGTATATGTGCTTACAATAAATGTGCTTGTATTGAATAGTATTGCAGCTGCCAAGGACTGACCAGGCTGGCGGGAGCCTAGCTTTATTTTTCACTCTTGCAATGTTTACTGTTTGTGATTATTACAAACGGGATGCTGTATAATACTATGTGAATGGACAAGGAAATAATGTATTTAAAATTGGGGATATTGCTTTGTGTTCACATAAACTCCCCAGTCCTGGAGTTATTTTTAAGACTCCTGTTACATCTCAAGTGAATACACTGGAAATAAATATATCTGCTCATGTATGCCATGGGCCATCTAAAATTAACAATCTCTGGTGCTTTCAGTTCACATGGGCTGCTTTGTATGTCTCGAGTAAATAGCGGTACCTGTACAGATGCAGTACCCTGTCTATTACTGTATGCAATAGGTGTGCATCTGAAAATATCCGGAAGAGAAGCTGGACATGAGGTCCTGCAACTACTTGCAGATGTCTGTGTTCAGAGGCCAAAAACCTCATCCCAAGCCTACAAGTACTGCTAGGCCTGGGGTTTGGCATGCAGGATGCACAAGTCTAATGGGAGGCTTTGCAATGAACCTGCAGACAGTCTTGCCCCAACATGAGTTTCACTTGTGGGACCACCACCACTCCCACCACCACAGAAAAACATGGTCCTCAGGTCCGCATTCTGTACTGCTATCCTGCTGCTGAGCTGCAACCACAAGCTGACCTGCTCGTGAAGATGGGGCCTGCTGCATCTTTCTGCACTGAGGAAACGCAGCCCCCCAGCCTCCCAGCTCTCTGAGAAGGAAGCATCCCTAAAGCGCATGGCAGCAGGGGAAAAACACCTCAAGTGTGCTGGCTCCAGCAGCTAAGGCAGTGTGGTGCAAGTGTCCAGATTTTCCGAGAGTACTCCAAAACAGCTGTGCTCTCTGAGAAGGTCAGCTCTCCCAGCAGATGTAACATTGTGCCAGGGAGAGGACTGCCTTGGGGTTGCACTGAGCTATATTAGCTGTATTTTTCTCAATGCAAAAGTCAAGGCCATCTTTTTTTCAGGCTCCTGAGGCAAAGCATTCGGCACAGTCAGCAGACAGATTTCTACAAGCCAGTGAGTCCATCTTCGTTTTGAAGGAGTAAGGCATAAATACAAAATCTAGCTAACAACGGCTCCAGTAGCTTTTTAAATGGAAGTACCAGGGCATAAATATTAGCAGCCTTCCTAAGAGTTCCTACAAGGAAATCCAATTAGATTACACTTTACATTTTGGGGCAGGGGGATCGAATGCTATGCCATACCTTCTGATTCTCTTTTCCAATCAATGAAAACAGGTCACGCATCATTACAACACTTACCAAACAGAAGTCTTCAGACCAAATTCTTTAGCTCTGTAGTAACTCCTGAAACTCCTCTCTTTCCAAATCACTGTCAATCCACTGGTGAAACCCAGCGAACCCACTAAAAAGTCAATAAAGAATCCCTGCAGTGCTGCCAATACCAGTGGTAATTTCAGGGTAACAACAACGGCCAAGATCTGAGGAAAAAGAAAACTGGCGCAAGCTCTTTCAAATAGGAAAACAGAGGCTGGGCTCCAGCTCAGTAACCAGGTCAGTAAACCACGCTGACTCTTTTGGAGTAAAACTTACCACGCTTAACAAAGAACATCTTTGCATTGAGGAAGAAGTTTCTTTTTAAAAGGTGCCAGGTAGTTATCAAGAATAGCTGCTAAATGGCAAGTTGACAGCCAAATTACTTTGCTGTTACCTGTGCGTGGCTCTGAGCCCAGGAACCTATTCCTCGGTGTCCCTTGCAGCCAACAAGACCTGTGCTGTTGGCTTGTACAGGAACAGACCCGCACAGAGCAAATTACTACTCCTGCTTTCAGATTTAAAGACTCTAGATAACAATTAAGATACAAACCTTAATGAGAAAAAGAAGTTGATAGCTGTGTTGTTTTCTTCTACTAGATAAACAAGAGGAAAGGCATTATATCTGAATTACACAAACACATTCACTTGAGCACACTCTCCCCTGGAAAACAACATTCCCAAGTGGTTAAGGGGCAGTTCAGAAGCATGATCAAGAGTGCAGTGGGTTGCACTCTTGCAGAGATCTGTACTTTCTGTTTCACGAGCTAGTTCCCATTCAGCGATTGTTCTTTCAAGGTGACTCTAACCTGGCACAGGCCCACAAATTCTTCAGTTCTCCAAGTATCTGACACAGCCAGAATCACCACATTAAAAATACCATTTTCCTGTCTACTTCCAATACCTTACTCTAGTGAAATGTTATTGATCTGCTGTTATGTTGGTGAAATCTTAGCCCTTGCTCGTTTTCAGTCTGCAAGTGGGAAAACTACAGTGGGGGGCTCCTTATGCCAACAGAAACTTATTTTACAAGATCAGAGGCAGATCATCACATGATGCTTAGAGCATTTCAACGGATGGCAAAGGTGTAAAGCCACTTTTGGATTTCACTCCAAAATCATGGGGGTATTTACCCCCATGCAACACATTTGCTAAGAAAGTGAGAAAACAGTTTTGCAGCTGCCAAGGGCTGGCCAGTGACCTCAGGCCAGGGAGTGCCAGGACTCCCCAGTGCTGGAGCTATTTTAACTTACCAGTCTTGCAAGAATTTTCCTATGATGGAATGAGTTGGATAGGGAGGAGACAGGAGAATTAGCAAAGGGCAAAGGATATTTCTGCATTCCACCGTTCATAAGCACTAACTAAAAACCAAAAACACTTGCACGATCAGGATCCCCTGCTGATCTCGGAGCTCCAGCCCCGAGCCTGTCTCCATGGTGCTTCCACGAACGCCCCCCGGAGACAAAGACTTGTGAATGAGCCCTCTGCACAGCACAATATTAGCAAAAGGAACCGCTTCTGCCATGGCTTTTAGGCACAAGTGAGCTAAGAGATACCGTGGCTAATCTGCACAAAGAAAAATGACTTCTGTTGAAACTACACACGTCAAAACCTCTCTAAGGAAGCAATGCTGCAGACAAATTACATTTGCTCAGGCTGCCACTCTGAAAGGCTCAGGGCCTGGAAGAGTTTTCCAAGCCTTCTCAATTTATACTAAAAAGGTAAGGCATACTGCGGAAAGAACAGTCTCTGGTTGCAAGGGATTTCCTGTAGCTTGTGCAGGAGTTAGTGGAAGTTTCTTTGAAGAGGGTTCAACAGCCTGTTCCCAGAAATCATCACACATTTTAATTACTCCCTTCACATATTCAAGCATTTTACATCCAAGTCAACCTTCCAGGCAAATATCTTTTAATAACCTTTTAGTTAAGCCTAGTAGTTTTCATTTCACCAACCATTTAATTTTCCCATTAAATGAGCCTTTGTTCAAAACACTTTCAACATTATGCTCTTACAGGTATGAATTCCACCAACTGCTAACCCCAAAGAACAGAATAACTAGATGTCCCCAATTAGTGCAACTGTCTAATCAGAACAGTCACACAACAAAGATGTGCATACTGATGCAATTTAATTGACTACTAAAACCCCTTACAGCAAGGGCACTGAATACCTGAGGTAGAAAGGAAGTGGGCCGCTGCACAGGCTACACTGCAGCTGACGACTTCAGAATGCATTTAGAGGATGAGGGGGGAAACTAAGTGCACGGGAGCTTTTGGGGTAGTTTTGTCACTGTGCTATTCACCCTCTCTCCAGGTCATTTCATATTCTGTTGAACAGCATGGCCCCCGCAGAACACCACTGCTGACTCCTCTCTCCAGATCATTTCTTTTTGGCTAGTAATTTTTCCATTTGAAGACCATCCCTCTTAGAGAGGCTAAGCATCCCTCAGTTAAGAGCCTTTGGTGAGGGACTCTGTCAAAAGCCTTTCGCAAATCTAAAATTGTACCGAGCGAGGTGAGTTTGGAGAATAGTCCCTCACAGTGATAACAAACGCACATGACACACAAGGTTCGGAGCCTCCCAGGTAGAGATTCCAGCATTACAACAGCACATCATTTCAGAGACAACATAACATTTCCCTAAGAACCAGCATACAGATCAGTTCCCTAATCCAGAGACTCCTTTGCAGAATGAAATTAAAATGATCCATTAGTGAGGCTGGGAGAGTTGGTCTCCCATCCATGACAAGCTAAACTACTGCTGAGGACAGTGGCTCAGCTTGGTTTGAGCCAAGGTCCTCACACCAAATACTACAGTGACCATACCTGTAAAATGCTTGCTCCACTGTTGCACAGATGGAAGGTGCTGAGCAGACATCACCCCACAAACAGCAACACCATTAATCCAAGTTCTGAGACACGGTGCTTGGATTTCATCTCTGAATCCAGGGGAACGCTACAGTTATTTTTCACTCTATTAAATGTGCAAACACAATCAGTACTTTGCATTAAATAGCCTGGAACTAAACGTAAAGGTACATTACCTCAAAATTTAACTTTCAGTGTGCTGGAGAACTTCATGCTGAAAACGCACAACTCATTAGAAAGAAACTAGTGAAATTTTGGTAGCTGGCAGCAGGAGGAAGCAAAGTTTTCTGACACAGAAAGGAAACCAAGGCCGTGACTTAAGGACAATCTGGTTGTTTCTAGCACAGTGATTAATTGTAGACTATTTTAAGTGTCATGATTAAGTTTCAAATGTAAAAACCCCACTGCTGTAACTGAGGCAACACAATACCTCTTCGGAAGCTACAGTCTTTGGGTATTTCGCAACAACTGCCCAAATCTGAAGAGCTAGTTTCTAAGGGATTTTTTCTTCACTAACCATTTCAGTCCAAACCAAAGCAAAGAGTCCAGCAGACGCTTTGGGTAGTACACAGACACCTGTGTACACATGTCACAGAACACCTGAATCAAACACAGTTCTCCTACGAGACATTTCCTTATCGCTGAGGAAATCAAAACAACTTATTTAAATCAGAAAGATTCCTATGCAACGAGTAGCAAAAGGTGACTTAAATTTGGTCTTTTTCCTGCTCATTGTATTTTATGTTTTCAAATGTTTGCTACTGTGATACTCAGCCGGGCAGAGCTAGAGCACACAGTTCTATCAGAAACACAAATTTGTTCTAATCCCCCACCTCAACAACATGCACCATCATAACCAAAATAAAGTTCTCTCTCCATTTTTAACAGTCATTCAACTAATCACATGAAAGTGTGTGAGGGATCAGTACACCCTTAGATAAAAACATGTATGAAATACAGCTGATAACGGTTCAATGTATTATGGAACTTTTTTTTTTTTTAAATAACCAATGGGATACTTCCCCTCCAAATAAAAATACCTAATAAAAAGAAAAAACTCAACAGAATGCACAGACAGAATGTATATGTGGGCACCTCTGGACTGTTCTGTCTTAGTGAAGACCTGCAGCAACAGATCTCCAAACCCAGTGCTGAAGAACAATCTTGCTCCAGAGAGCAAGGCCAGTCTGTTCGGTAACCAAGACTGCAGGGAAAAGCTCCATGGCCTGCACATCCTTGCAGAAAACTCAACCTGATGCACCTCCAATTCAGCTAATAAACACAGAGGTAATGAAGTTATTTCTTCATAGAACACCGGCTTAAAGCCAGTCAGCACATCTGTCAGTAGAAGTTGCAGAAATCCCTGTGATGTAACTTTCCCCACTGCTAGGAAGTGGGATCCAGACTGGCCATTGCACATGCGGTGGAGTGATTTCTTCAGCCCAGTTGGACAGGCCTCATTCAAGTAAGAAGCAACCAAGGCAACCACAATCACAATGAACAAAGTATTAAGATTTGTCCAATTTGTGCGTACGCTCATGCCTCCGTAGGGTACCAGATTCAGTGAAGCAGTGACCACAGTAAGCACAAGAATAGGGCTTCTCCCCAGTGTGGATCCGGTGATGGCGCTGGAGCGATGCCAGCCGGGTGAACGTCCCTCCACACTCCTCACAATAGAAGGGGCGCTCCCCAGAGTGAGTCTGCTGGTGTCTTTTCAGCCTGAGCAGCTGGACGAATGCCATACCACATTCTTGACATTTGTAAGGCTTGTCTTGTCGGTGGATCACCTTGTGTTTGGAAAGCAGGTTAGGCTTATCGAAACCCTTGCCACACGTCGGACAGGCATAAGGTTTATAATCTTCTTCCTCAGACTTTTGGTTTTCTGCACAAGGCTGATCAGTGTACTCAACACTGTGCTGGTTACGGTGCACTATCGACCACGGGTTCCTGGCCATGCCATTTCCTAAGATCACCATGGAACGCTCTATCTTGTGTACGTTGCGTAGGTGCCTCCAGACATCAGCCGTGCGGATGAAACCCTTGTCACATTCTGGACACTTGTGTGGCCTGTCACTGGAATGGATGAGCTTGTGCATTCTCAAATTTGCAGCACGGAAGAACTCTTTGCCACAGACAGGACATCGGTATGAATTTTCCACAAGATGGATTTGCTTGTGTTCCTGCAGCTCACTCATATCCCGGAAAGAGGCACCACACTTCTTGCACCGATAAGGCAAAGGTTCCCCAGGGTTGGGCTCCAGCTCCTCCTCACCAAAAACATCAGTAAGAACAGTGTTTTCACCATCATCACACAACCTTCTCTGTGGTTTCTTGGAGCGCTTAGAGGAACTACGCGCTAAATCTTCGTCTTCACACTGCAAGTCAAAGTTGGTACTGGAGGTGACAAATATCCCAGCTGTAGTCTCACCTCGTTTCTGGTAGTAGGTCTCATAGGTCTCTTCATCGTCACACTGCAACTCTACAGGAAGCTCCTGTTTACCTGAAGGTCCGGAAGGGTTGCAACGAGGAGTGGATCTCTGCGAGTAATTCATGTCTGCCTCCTTCTGGAGGCTAGATTTGTGGCCCATCCGTTTATTGGTCTGTCTGGAATAACTAGAATGCTTCTCACCTGTGTCACACATGTTATTCTCAGAGTCCCAGTCCACCTTCACATCCATCTTCTGATGCATAGGCTATGTTTATCCGTGTATACCAAGATCTTCAGGTCTTTCATGGTAAGTACATCTCATGCTCAGATCTCTTCAGTCCTCTCTAGAAAGCAGCAAAAAAGTGTCATCAAGTGATTTTGTGATATTAACAGAAAATAAACATATATCATCACAGTAAAGACTGCGTTACGATTAAAAGAAATGGAACAAATTACTAGCTATGCAGTGGGAGAAATAGGATCATCATCTATCATATATGTAGACTATATACATTTAGCATATAGAATACACACAGAATATGCTTTAACAAAGTTAAATCCTCTATTATAATCCAGTCTTTGCTACAAATGTAACTTGTTAAACAATTTCCATTTAATTTCACCTGAAAGACTAGAAATCTTAAGAACTTTGGGGTCAAAGCACTTTAGGCTAAGTCCTACACTTATCTCCCTAGCTGCCTCACAGCAGGTCTTTTTCTCAATGATCCACTTCTAATCTTTGTTTTTACCTTGCTAAATATAAACTAAGAGTAGCAGTCACAAGGCATTGTCTTGCAGGAGCTTAGTTAGGTAATGCAAGGAGACCCAGCAACTGTCTTAACCAAACGGCCAAACCCAGAGCAATCAAAGGCTCTGTACGGAAGGAGGGGTCTGATTCTCATGCGTGGCTCACTAGGAACAGGAGCACCATGAATGCCTTGAGCCTCTTGTCCCAACTGGCATTATTGTAAAGTTCACAGGGATCTTTCAGGTTCTTGTGCAACCATCAGCTAGCACCATAAAGTAAAGAGAGATGTGCTGGAGCCATATGCAAGTAGAAACATAAAAGAGTTGCCTAGGAAGCACACTAATCAATCTTCCAGGCTTCAAAGCACAGCTAATAGTCCGCCGTGGCTGACCCACTAGAATAGCTTCAAATTCTCTGGGCAAATTCCCTTTGCAAACTGGCTTTGCTAGCAGAAAATATGAGCAATGGTAATTGTTCAGGAACACCTCTCTGAGTCACAAACTTTCTGTGAGAATCATGCTTTCATTTATGCCATACCAAACAGTGGATTTGCAAGAGGTTTCTGAGATTTGTCCCAGCAGCCTCTGTTGACAGCAGTTCCACATGGAGCTTTCAGTCACCCAGTTTTAAACCTGAATTCGGCTTGAAGCACTAGTCTAACCTTAGAAAGTGTATTTTATCCATGCTGCATGGTTAACTCTGCTTCTGACCTCCACTGTCTCCTTCACACCCACTTTTTTATATTTTGTTTACTCTCACTCTTTCTCCATTTCCTCTTGGTTGCTTTTATCTGGGTTAAGACTTCTCTGAACACAAGCATATATATATGTATGCAAGTATGTGTGTAAATATGTAGGTATGCTTGTATTTCTGCATTTACATGTGTATGTAAATACAAAGATTGCCTATTTATTTTCAGTAGGTTCAACTCGCAATAAGGGCATTATAGCAATGGGCTTTAAGTGAAAGGTCTTATTCACATCTCAGAAAGGCCAGCTTCATTCAAGATACAAACTGAGCTTTCTTCTACTGCGATACTGAAAACAAGTCTGAATTAATTTTCTTCATTAGTCACTGTCTGGAAAACAATGGGTCAAGTCATCCATCAGCATCAACTATTCCCATTAATTTAATAGCACCTGCAGGAAAATAGGAACTATTTTTCCCCTCCAGGAGAATGCCTCCAGCTTCCTAGTAAAGTAGAGGGTTGGTTTGCTATTGCTGTTGCTGAAGACAAACTTTTCAGGGAAGGCTTGGCTTAATAAAACTCCCTGAGGAAGGCCATTCTTAGCAGCCCAACGCAAGAGGACTTGTAAGCGGGAAAATATTTAAATGATGATGTAAGCTTAAAGAAACCGCGATTTTTCAGGTGAAGATAGATGGGTAAGGCAAGCCCCCCCCTCCCCCGGCCCAGGAGCCCGCCCGCTCCGCGGCCCCCCGCACGCCATCTCACCCGTCCCGCCGCGGAGCCAGTCGCCCCGCGGGGAGGCTGCCGAAGCGGCGGGGGGGGCGGCCGCCGCGCCCG